ATTTGCAGCCAACTTGGTTAATACCGGCTTTATATTTGCTACATGTCCCCATTTGCATAGCAGAACTTAGAAAAATAAATAAAAATTTCAGCTTTTCTTTTAAGATTGCTCTATTCTGAACTCTCCAGCAAGGAAAACATACTGCATACTTCTGTTTATGAGGGGGATACACAGCTGTATTTACCATAATAACCCTTTCTGTACTATGCAGGCAGATCCTATCAATTGTAACTAGATTTGAACACTGTCTGTCCTTAGGAAAGATTAAAGGTTTAGAGTCTGGGCTTCATGCATTGCATGTTATTAATGACAAACTTGGGACACACACTCTGACATCTGTTCAAAAAAAGCAATGACACCTACCCCGAGAAACACCAAAAAAAGTAAAATATTACAAAACATAATTTAAAAAAATCTTACTATTATATAATAAGCATGCTGTGTGAATGGGAAACCAACAAACATAGTGGGATTTTCTCAAGTTTAATGTATTGACTGCAAAAATGGAGAAACACCGGAGACAAAAAAAAAAAAAAAAAAAAAAAAAATATAGAAGACACGATTGTTTTTTTCCCCCCAATTTCTTACACTATATGGTATGAGGGTAGCATCCTTCTCTGAGGGGCCAAAAACAAGAATAGCTAGAGGTATTGTAGTTTTTGCAAGGTTAAAGTTCAAAAAAACTACAGGTTCAATTAAGAAGCGTAGAAGTAAATATGTGGAGCATGTAATACCAAGCTCTTGTCATCTGCAAACAAGCGTTTCTGCTATATACAGGTGATGTAAAAAAAAAAAAAAAAACCCCACCAAAACCACTCAAAGAGAAATCACGTAAGAATGTCACTTTTAATGTGACCAATCTATGCAATTCAATTAAAAAACTGAAATTGTTTTAGTGGGGGGGGGGGAAAAAAAAAAAAAATTCTGATTGCACAAGTGTACTCCCAGTCTTAGAATAAGTGATGCGGCCATGTTCAGGATTAACCAAATCACATTTAAACTGATATTAAATAGTAGTCAGTACACACCTGCCATTAATGAAAGTGACTGTCTAAGCCCAAATAAAGTTCAGCTGTTCTAGGAGGATTTCTTTTTTACATTCAGCCCGGGTTCACATATATGCGGTGGTGCGGTACATCGCATGTGATTCACACAGGAACCGCACCGCATTCCTGTGCAAATCACATACGATTTGTGTGCGTTGTGATTGGAGCTATACCTTTTGTATGGCTCTAATCGCACCTCACCCAAAAAGGTGTAGGACCCTTTTTTTGGTCTGCACTAGAATTGGATCACATGGGTATTCACACCTATGCGATCCGATTCTGCACATCGCACTGCATTTTGAAGACCGATTTCGGGGTGTTGTTAACATACACACCAGCAACGGTTTGGTTGGACAGGGTGCGATTTTGATGCAGTGTGGAATTCGCACAGAAGACGCTGCGAATTCCGCACCGCATCAGTGTGAACCCAGGCTCACTCAGTGGCCTCTTGCAGCAAAAGCCATAGTCTGCAAAGAGCTCACAGAGTGTATCAAAGGGATGTCAATGTTGAAAAGGTATGTGAGGAAAAAAGGTACAAAACAAAAACAAAACAAAAAAATCCAAAAGGCATTAGTTACACAATAGAATAGAGTGAAGACTGTCATCAAGTGAAGAAAGTATGACACAACAGTGACCTTATCAAGAACTGGACTTTCCTCCAGAATTGATGGGAAAAAAAACATGAAATAAAAAAAAACACTAGAAAACTGGTCCAGGAGACTGCCAAGAGCTATTTTGCAAAGAAGAATGGGCAAAAAATTTCACTCTAGATGTGCAAAGCTGGGAGAGACATCCCCAAAAAGACTTGAAGCTGTAATTGCAATAATAGGCATTTCTACAAAGTATTGACTCCGGGGGGCTGAATACAAATGCATGCCACACTTTTCAGATATTTACTTTTTAAAAAGTTTAAAAACCATTTATTATTTTTCTTCCACTTCACAATTATCTGACACTTTGTGTTGGTCACATAAAATCACAATAAAATACATTTACGTTTTTTGGTTGTAACATGACAAAGTGTGGAAAATTTCAAGGGGTATGAATACTTTTTCAAGGCACTGTACATGTGACAATCTACCGTATTCATAGGTCTTGGCTGTGGGGTATGGTGGCAAGATAGAAGCCTTTTCTTACGAAGAAAAACATCCAGGCCCAGCTACACTTTACAAAAAACCTACACCAAGAATGCTAAAAGTATGTTTGACACAAAATCTACACTGAAAAAAACCCCAAAAAAAAAATAAAAAACCAACAACACACACACACACACCACACCCTTAGTAAAGCATGGTGGTGGCTTTATTATGCTTATGCTTTTGGGCTGTTTTTCTTCAGCTGGAACTGAGGCTTTGCTCAAGGTGGAGGGTCTTATGAATAGTTCCAAGTATCAGTCAATTTTGGCACAAACCTTTCAGGCCTCTGCTAAAAAAGAAGAATATGAAGTGGAATTTCACCTTTCAGCACGATAATCCAAAGCATGCCTCCAAAAAAAAAAAAATGGCTTCACTAGAACATCAAAGCTTTGGAATGGCGCAGCCAGAGCCCAGACCTAAATCCAATTGGAAATCTGTGGGGTGACCTAAAATGGGCTGTGCACAGGAGATACCCTTGCAATCTGACAGATTTGGAACACTTTTACAAGGAACAGTGGGCAAAGATTCCTAAGGCGAGATGTGCTATACTGACAGGTTCCTACCCCAAAGGGCTGCATGCTGTCATAAAACCACAAAGGCACTTCAACAAAAGTATTAGTTTAAGAGTGTGCATTTTTATACAGGCACAATATTGTAAGTTTATTTATTTTTATTACCCCCCCCCCCCCCCAATTTGCAGATTTTGTTTAATTGAATTGCACATATTATAGGTCACATTAAAAAGGTAGGAAAAAAAAATGAGAAGGGATTTATCATGGTCTGATTTTTTTTTAGATCGAAGACAAAAATAATAATAATAAAAAAAAAAAAAAACTGGCATTTTTACAGGGGTATTTAGACTTTTTATATATAGAGAAAATATATGGGTAAAGAATCTCCAGGATCATTCAAGTGACTTTTGGATGCCATGAAAGAGATGTTCTCAACATTTCAGTCTTTTAGAATGTCATTGCAGAATTTTGGTAATTTTATTTATTTATTTCAGGTACTTATATAGCGCTGTCAATTTACACAGCGCTGTACACTTATATATTGTACATTCACATCAGTCCCTAACCCTCAAGGGGTGTACAATCTAAGGTCCCTAACTTACATTCATACATACACATATTAGGACAATTTAGACAGGATCCAATTCACCTACCAGCTTGTCTTTGGAGTGTGGGAGGAAACTGGAGTACCCGGAGGAAACCCACACAGGCACAAGGAGAACATGCAAACTCCAGGCAGGTGCCATGTCTGGGATTCCAACCAACTACCTTAGTACTTCCAGGCAGAAGTGCTAACCATTTAAGCCACTGTGCCGCCCCATAATCAAGCCACCTCGTTGTCTAGCTGTCAGTCAGTTTCCTCAGCGTATCATCTCTGGTAGCTTCTCCTATACAGCAGAAAAGCTTTCCAGAGGCACCAAAAGTATCAGTAAAACATTAAAGTCCAAACTGAAGAAGCAGAAGTCTTCTGTATGCTGCACAGAACTGCTATTTCCCATGTTTCCAGGACTGTGTCTCTGGATGCCCAATCACCAGCAATGTCACATGAGAGTAAGGAGAGGCAATCACATTCTCCCCTCTGTGTCAAGAAGACTCCATATACCTTTATGGGCCAGGAACTAGTACAGGGGATTTCAAAGCAGCATAAAAGGAGGTACATAGGACACTAGAATATCTGTTAAAAGCACAAAAGGTAAATTGGAATTAGTGTATCAGTTAGTCCTCCTGCACACTTGACATTTTTACAGCGGCTGTTTTTGGCTTTTGACATTTTTTTTTTCTACAGCTAGTAAACGCCCCAGCATGTTATCCTATGTGTCCATGCACACAGACTGTACTGAATGTTTTTTGGCTGGAAAAAAAACCCCAGGACTAGTGGGTTTCTAGAGGAGTTTTTTTTTTTTTTTGCTGTAAAAACGCTCTAACACTGAAAAACATGGCAAAACAGCATTTTGGACTTTTTTTGACCAAAAAAAAAAATTTTTGGTAAAAAAAAAAACAAAACAAAACATAAACAAAAACACGGCTGAAAACCACAAAAGATGAAAAACACGGGAAAAACGCAGCCAAACGTCAATTCACAAATGCTAAAAAACTCACATTTTTAACGTGACCTTACACAGCTAATGTTACCAGCATTATCAAAACGTCCCATGTGCATAAGGACTTACCTTAACATGAACTACAGATATCTCCAACATTTATAATCTGTTTTTAAGAGCAATTAAAACAAAAGACCACTTTTCAGTTCAGTTGAAAAATTTATTTGTCAAAAATAATTTCACAGCCAGCCTAGATACTTAAAATGCAAGCTTTATGTAGTGAGTACAATGCCTAGATGGTGTACAAAGGCTCCTGGAAATTGTTATTCCTCTAAACCAAATGGAAAAGATCTTCTTGAAGGAAATAAGAGACTACTTTAAGTGCATTGGATTTGGTCAAAAGGCACTCTGCAGCTTGAACAGATCTTCATAGGGCTTGACACCCCTTTAAATCCCCTGGTAATCAGATTGGCAAGTCTTAATAATTTTGAAGTACCAGAAGTGCAATAGTGACTAGAGATTTGGTGCAGGCTAACAAAACCCATTATATACCACGCCTTACATGAAGAGCAAATATTCATTTATGATAGGTATAATATTAATAAGTTACTAATACAAAAATTACAGAATGATTCAGAGTCATTTTTTTTGTGGGCTGGAAATGCAAGTGAGGCAATCATACATAAAAAAGGTATTTGATTATTTTTGTGTAAAACCAGGTTCAATCTCTATTCACCGCCCAGCAGAAAGGTTCACCGTGGACGCTTAATGTGGTTGAGCAGTATACCGCATGTATTTCTTCCCAGAAGGCAGCTCTTTGGTGAAAACGCCACAGGGGAAGATCTTGCTGGCTTCCGCCTCTGGTACATTTGGTGTAACCATAACTCTGTCACCAAGCTGAGTGCATGAAAAGAAGGAGTTTGTTAGGTTGTATACAAAGCATATTCAACACAATGAATTAACTTACACAGTGTAAAAAGGCTTTAGATGTTACGGCACGCTCACTACCTCACCTCAAAAAGGAATCTAGGCTTCAGCACAGTGGTTGTAAAGGTAGAAGGTTTCTACCTTCATGCATTACACCTGCTGTGTGCAGCAGCCCCCCATAATATTCACCTGAGCCTTATCCCGATCCAGCAATGTGCATGGGAGCCTCAACTGTCCTGAGTCGCTCTCTCTTCATTGGTGGAGACACAACAGTGAAAGTCATCGGCCAGCCAGCGAGCCAATGAGGAGAGAATGAGGAGTGGCTCAGAGCCGCGACTCTGTCTTATGGATGCATAGAGTGGTGCTCAGGAGAAAGCACACACCAGTGCCCCCCAAAGCCAGCAGCTTGCTATTGGGGGTTGCCCTGTGCAAAACCATTGCACAGAGCAGGCAAGTATGACGTTTTTGTTGTTTTAAAAAATAAAATAACTGCTTTCCTATCACTTTAATATAGTCCCGCTGGTAGCCGAGTTGTGATGGCAAGTAATGAAGCTAAAAAAGCTGCTTGGGGTTTGCTAAAGAGGTTGGCAAACACGTGCTCTACACACATTGCTCTTATACAAAGATAAAGCCCGTGTGTACAAAGCCATAGTGATCCCAAAGGAGAGAGGTACTCAACTTCCAAGATACTTTATCCATAACAAAAAAAAAAAAAAAAAAAAGTTTGCCTGTATTTTTTTTTTTTTTTTTTTTTTTTTTTTTTTTTTTTTTTTTTTTTTTTTTTTTTTTTTTTTTTTTTTTTTTTTTTTTTTTTTTTTTTTTTTTTGTTGGTGTTTTTTTTGTTTTTTGTGTTTTTTTGTTTTTTTTGTTTGTTATACTTTGAGTTGTTCACCCTCTCTATTTGTCCTTTTTACCATTATCATTGAAAGTAAAAGAAAATCCACAATTTCTGGGTTGTTCCCAGAAAAGTAATGGAAGGGGAAATCATCCACTGGGGAATTGCCCAAGGAATTCCCTTAATTTGCAGGGATTTTCTCTCACTTCCTATTTGGCTATGGGACAGGAAGTGAAGGGAAATCTCCGCAATGGGACATACAGTTGCAAGAAAAAGTATGTGAACCCCTTGGGATTACGTGGAGTTTTGCATGAATTGGGCATAAAATGTGCTCTGAACGTCATCTAAGTCACAACAGTAGAACACAGTCTGCTGAACATAATACTACACAAAACATTAGATGTTGCCATGGTTTAATTGCACATAACATGTAAACATTCACAGTGCAGGAAGGAAAAAGTATGTGAACCTTTGGACTTAATAACTGGTTGACCCTCCTTTGGCAGCAATAACCTCAACCAAACGTTTCCTGTAGTTGCAGATCAGACCTGCACAATGATCTGGAGTAATTTTGGACCACTCCTCTTCACAAAACTGTTTCAGTGTAGCAATATTCTTGGGATGTCTGGTGTGAATCGCTCTCTTAAGGTCATGCCACAGCATTTCAATCGGGTTGAGGTCAGGACTCTTCAGAAGGCGTATTCTGTGCTGTTGCAGCCATTGTTTTGTTAAATTACTTGTATGCTTTGGGTCATTGTCCTGTTGCATCACCCATCCTCTGCGGGAGCTTCAGTTGGCGGACAGATGGTCGTACGTTTTTCTGCAAAATGTCTTGATAAACTCTGGAATTCATTTTCCCATCAATGACAACAATCCGTCCAGGCCCTGAGGCAGCAAAGCATGATGCTCCCTCCGCCATGTTTTACAGTGGGAATGAGGTTTGATGTTGGTGTGCTGTGCCTTTTTTTCTCCACACATAGTGTTTGTGTGTTCTTCCCAAACAACTCAATCTTGGTTTCATCTGTCCACAGTATATTTTGCCAGTAGAGCTGTGGAACATCCAGGTGCTCTTTTGCAAACTTCAAACGTGCTGCAATATTCTTTTTGGACAGCAATGGCTTCCTCCGTGGTGGCCTCCCATGTACTTCATTCTTGTTTAATGTTTTCCTTATTGTAGATGTGTCAACAAAAATGTTAGCATGTGCCAGAGATTTCTGTAGGTCTTTAGCTGACACTCTGGGATTCTTCTTTACCTCATGCAGCATTCAGCGCTGTGCTCTTGCAGTCATTTTTCCAGGACGACCACACCTAGGGAGAGTAGCAACAGTGCTAGACTTTCTCCATTTGTAGACAGTCTGTCTTACCGTGGACACATGAACATCAAGGCTTTTGGAGATACTTTTGTAACCCTTTCCAGCTTCATGCAAGTCAACAATTCTTGATCGTAGGTCTTCTGAGAGCTCTTTTCTGCGAGGCATGGTTCACATCAGACAGTGCTTCTTGAAACCAGAAAACCCAAAACAGGTTTGTGTTTTTTAATGCAGGACAGCTGTCAGCAACACATCCAAATATCACACTGATTGGAATCAAGGTTGGCTCACTCCTGGCTCCAATTTAGCTCTGGGAGAAGTAATTAAGCTAGGGCCTCACATACTTTTTCCTCCCTGCACTGTGAATGTTTACATGTTATGTGCAATTAAACCATGGCAACATCTAATGTTTGTGTAGTATTATGTTTAGCAGACTGTGTTCTTCTATTGTTGTGACTTAGGTGACGTTCAGAGCACACTTTATGCTCAATTCATGCAAAACTCCAGGTAATCCCAAGGGGTTCACATACTTTATGTGCAACTGTATATGGCAAACAAAAAAATCTGATAGAGGTTATAACCCTCCCTTGCTCTATCCAATGAAAAAAAGGTTTTGCCTATAGTTCCTCCTTAACCCCTTCACACCTAAGGGTAAAACAAATCTTAAAGCCCAAGTAAAATTTTTCAACTTTGACATGTGTTAATAAAATCATACCTGCAGTACAGCTCAGAAATAATAGTGCACCATTTGTGTGGTTTTTTTTTTTTTTTTTAACCTAAAAACACACTGGACAGTGATACAAATTAAAAAAAAACAAACAAAAAACAAACAAACAAAAAAACACACAAGGGGGGGTGGGGGCTTAACAGTGACTGATCACTGTGATAGCCAATCAGAGACTATCACAGCGATCATGACCCAGAATTAGGGAGTTCTAGATCCCAATCGTTATTACGGTACCTGGGGCTCTCCATGACACCCTGGTCTTTCTGCTGGGATCGCGCCATGCGCTCCCAGCACAAAGACAGATACACAAATATGCTGCCCCATGGAAAAAAGCCCAGTTCTGTGATGCCACATATTTGTGCAACGTCAGCATCAAGGGGTTAAATTTACCTGATTGACACAGCTGTAACATATCTAGAATGGTTTCGTTAAACGCATATTTGATATGCTATGATTAGCTATGATTAGCTTTGGGACATTCAATCTGAATAATCCACTGGAATATATTTTTAACATGCTGCCTATAGTGAAACACAGTACACTACAATTTCAGTGAAAGATAAAAGAGTTGCAACATGTGCGGTTAGCATTACACCAAACAAGTCATTGTTACCTTCCAGTCCACAGGGGTTGCAACACTGTGGTTTGCTGTAAGCTGCAGGGAGTCTATAACCCTCAAGATCTCATCAAAATTTCTACCAGTGGTTGCTGGGTATAGGATAGAAAGCTTCATTTTCTTATCGGGACCAATAATAAAGACCTGAAGAAATACAGAACAGAGGATTCAGTAATTACACATCACTGGCGTTAAAGCATTAGTACTCATTATCCTCAGGATACTCACACATCGGGCGGTCACTGGCATACCCTGACTGTCCTTCTCATCAGGGTCCAACATACCCAACAGTATAGCAAGTTCCCTTTTAGGATCTGCGATAATTGGAAAGGGCAGAGTCTCAGTTGGCTCATCGCAGTTGTAAGAGTTTATGTCCTGGGTTATAAAGAAAAAAAAAAAACACACAAGAACTTTAATTGGTATCATAAAAATAACAGTGAATCTTTTAGAAATAGACATTGGTTGTAAAAATGTACAACACATACTTGGAAGGTTTGTAGGGGTACGGTAAACGGCAGTGCTAGGGCAAATATAGGACAATTTTAAAGTGACAACTTCACTAAAAGCCACCTACCTAAAAATACTTACCCATTAATCCTGATCCCAGGATCCCCACTGTGTGGCCCTGTTCAGCACCAGACAGCCTTTGCAGAATAAAGTCCTGGATGCATCCAGATTTTACGTTAGCTGCTCTCATTCATTTCTATAGCTGGTCTGTACTACTGGCAGCCCCCCAGAAGAATACAGATACAACCATATGAATAAATGGGGAAAATGGTGCTAGGGAGCTGGGTGCAGCCAGGACTTTCTGCAAAGTCAGGTCACATATTATTATTATTTATATAGTGCCAACAGTTTGCTCAGCGCTTTACAATATAAAGGGAGACAATACAGCAACAATACAAGAGGGTTAGGAGGGCCCTGCTCCTTGGAGCTTACAATCTAAGAGGGAGGGGCTAGTGGTACAAAAGGTATTAATTGTGGGGGATGGACTGGAAGGAGGAGCAGAAGATTCCATTATTAGCTGAGGGCACGATAGGCTTCCCTGAAACAATAGGTTTTCAGAGATCGCCTAAAAGTGAGCAAAGTAGGCAATAGTCTGATAGATTGTGGTAGAGAGTTTCAAAGATGGGGGACGCTATGGAGAAGTCCTGGAGATGATCATGGGAGGAGGAGATAAGGGAGCTAGAGAGCAGGAGGTCGTACGAGGAGCGGAGAGTACAGTTTGGGTGATATTTGGAGACAAGATTGGTGATGTAATTTGGGGCAGAGTTATAGATGGCTTTATACATTATTGTTAATGTTTTGAATTTTATCTTTTGGGCAACTGGGAGCCAGTGGAGAGATTGGCAGAGAGGGGTGGCAGATACAGAACGGTTAGTAAGGTGGATGAGTCTGGCAGCAGCATTCATGATGTACTGAAGAGGGGATAGCCTGTGATGAGGTAGGCCAATGGGGAGGGAATTACAATAGTCAAGGCAAGAGATAACAAGGGAGTGAATAAGTTGCTTAGTAGTTTCCGAGGTTAAGATAGTAAACATCTCAGAAGGGGAGCTGAAGATAAACATTTTAGGTAGGTGGCTGCCACTCAGAGTGGGGGGGGGGGGGGGGGGGGGGGGTATTTAAAAAGGACAATTTCGCTAGAAGGGAAGTTGTCCTTTATCCAATACACTCTTGTATCATCAGAGAGGATATACAACTAGGTGAATTCCTGATACTTCATCTCCTGCAAATACCAAGAATTTTATACATTCATAACGTACATTGTAGAGTTTTTGAAGAAGTTTTATTAAGGGCAATACCTTTCATATCTCAGTAATAGGCTAGTAATAGCAATACTAGGGCATTGCTTCTATCAATGATTCTACACCAACATTTTACAAAACGCATAGGCTGCAATTTACATCTGATCTTGGTATATCATGTCTTGTCCTAGCTTCCATAAACACTTCAATAGGGATGAATGCCAACACGTGTAAAATTCATATTGAAACCTCACCACATGAAAGAGGCAGGGGTGTGAATGTCGTCTTAGACTACATAGTATACATACTCTTTATATACTGTATTCTCTTGTTTTCTCTGGTTTCTCACTTTCTTATTAATAAAGCAACAAAGTCCTTAATCAGTGTAGAGGTCTCCTCCTAAATCACCTGATTAATGCAGGCTTTGCAGAGGAGGTTACAATACTTCTCCTTACAGCTTTTTTACTCTGTTCCTCCTATCTTCAAACATGCATGCTGCTAACTGGAGACTTCACTGTCCATTGTTAACCCTTTCCTGTGAAGACCAGAAGTTCAGGGAAGCAACACAGAGCAGGCGCAAGTAGCACTGAAAGTTGTAAATGCAAGGGTAGGAGCAAGAATTTTAACAAATAGTTTACACTGATTCTTAAGTGCCGCTTCACATACATGCGGATTGGATGCGGTTTGAACTGCATCCAATACGCATGCCATGTGAAAGAGCATTGCTTCCTATGGTACCTGTTCACATATGTCCAGTGCACTGGTAGTGCGGATTGAAAAAAAAAAAAAAAAAAGTCCTGTACAATTTCTGAGCAGTGTCGTCCAGTTCAGGTGTGGATTACAGGCTATTGACTTCTATGGGAGCAGTTTCTAAACTGCAAATGTGTGAACAGGATAAAATCCTGACCTGAACCAGATGCAAACCTGACCTGTACCACTGAACTACTGTATCAATTAGCAATGAAATCTGAGCTTCAATCCACACACGTGTGAATCAGCTCTTAATGATTGCACAGAAGATTAACCAATTGCACACATACACTCACACACACCAAACCAGTTGTGGATGCTGGGCATAGCACATACACCCCAAAAAAAAAAAAAAAAAATGAAAACACACTTCTTCTGAATTACACATGGCAGGGTATGCAGCACAGTGGCTTAGTGATTAGCAGTCCTGTCTTGCAGCACTAGGGTCATCAGTTTGGATCCCAACCATGACACTACTTTGCATATTTTCCGTGTCCTCCCACATTCCAAAACACATGCTGGAAGGTCAATTGGCTCCTGTCTATACTGGCCCTAGTACTCTATGTAGTCATGGGAGGTAGGGAGCGTGGAATAAAAGGTCCTTGAGGGCAGGAACTGATGTGAATGTCCAACATATACTATGGAAAGCACTACATAAATTGACAGCGCCAGCCCTTCAGCCCTCTCCCCACATTTGCAAGCATTTCCCACCTGTCAAAATTACAGACGGGAGTTGCTGTATAAATACATCAGCTGTAATAGCTGCTCCTGTCCAAAAACAGATCGTCTGACACAGAATTTGTATTTACAGTTACATTTATCTGCATAGCAAATCGGTGATCTTTGATCTGCATATGTTGTCAGTTAAAGCCTAATGCAGGCCATACATGGTTCAAATTCTGAACGATTTTTTGTCCTAAAATCGAAAACGTCGTTTGCTCGGTAATCCGATGGTGCCATCAAGGATTTCAAAAATCAGCCGATCAAGTCATAAAGTTCACCCCATATAACAGGCGAAACTTCTGTGCCTTCCAGGTCACGGCTCATGCGCATATTCTTTTTGGAAAAATGATCGTACGATTTGACCATCATTGAGTCGAAAATCAGTTGTTTTTCACGAATTTTCCAACATGCCTGATCACCAAAAAGGGGAGGAACCATGAAAGTCAGCCGGTGCCATTGACCCATTAACAGAGCGAAAATTGGCCGATTATTCTTAGGTCGAATTTCGACCCATGTATGGCCGGCCTAACTCTAGCTTTGCTTTTATTTAAAAAAGTTTTTTTGGGTCAAGCTGGTTCAAAATTAACCATTTCTGTTACTACTAGATGCACCCATAGTCACCGCTGTATAAACTGTAAGTAGAATGAGGAGGATAGAAGTTGGTCTGAAAGCGGACCTTAAGTTGACTTACAAGTGAAAGTACTGCTTATCTGCCTGAATTGTGAAAGCGGGTGGGGGAGAATATACCTTTCCGCAGTCAGGGAAGGGGGGGATGAAATCGGGTGGAGAGCTGCAGGAGTGAGAACAGGTTACATGTTCCACCTTAAAACACAGGTGGAATATGTAACATGTTCCCAAAGGTGAACTTATCCTTTAAACCTAGAAGTAACCAACTTATCATCAGCAACTTATGCTGAGAAAAACACAGCTGCTGCCACTGCTAACCATCTCTCCTACTGAAAAAATACTAACTGCCTGCCCTTCCAGCAAATAGACAAACACACGGAGCTCTAGAGAGATTACGCAGGATTGAGTACACGATACATGGGCAGCAGACACATCTGCCAGATATCCACACCTGTTATTTGCTCCAGTTGCCCCAGGCAGGCTCACACTTGATGGTTTTCCCCAGAGCACCATAACTCGTTAAATAGACAAACAATTCTTTAACTCTCCTAAAGGGAATGTCAAGTGGAGAGTGTATATGTATAATCACCACTTGCCCTCTGGAAGATTTACCTCCCTTCGTGACCAGGCTATTTTTTGCTATGTGGCACTGCGCCACATTAACTGCCAATTTGCGCGGTCGTGCAACACTGTACCCAAATTACATGTATATCATTGTTTTCACACAAGAGCTTTCTTTTGGTGGTATTTGATTACCACTGGATTTAATTTATTATGCAAACTAATAAAAAGACTGAACATTTTTAAACAAAAAAACCCCACATATACATATATATACACATACATATATACATACACACACACACACACACACACATATATATACACACACACACATATATACACACACACACACACACACACACACATATATATACATACACACACACACACATATATATATATACACACACATACACATGTGTGTGTGTATATATACACACACACACACACACACACACACACACACACATATATACACATATACACATACACACACATATATATATATATATATATTAATAAACGAGCGCTGGATAAAAAAAGATATAGCTGCTGGCATAAAAAAGGTAAAACCTCTAAAAACCTTTCCTTGAAATCGTAAAAATAAAATATAAGCATCGTTGATGTTAGATAAATAGAATGGATATTATATAATAAGGCATAAAATATCAAAACTATAACAATATTAAATCATATACATTTGCGCACTGAGGTGCTATAATGAATAATAGTGTAAAGGATAAACTGATCAGTCATAACAATTTGCACTCTATGGCGCTAAAAGCAATTAAATGTGAGAACATCCAAACTTGACCTCATAAGGTGCAAATAGTGGTGTATAAAATTTCCCAAAATCGAATAGCAGCAAATTGATGAAAATCAATGACTCTGGTGTCTAAAAAGGATGAGTGTAGATTGCACTAACCAGAGAGTGCAAACTAATGCGCATTTGAGTAAATCAAAGACCAACTCCTGGTCATCTGCATCTGGACACTGGATCAATGGGGGTCATCTGGCAAGCATCAGCTAGGCAGGTAGAACACTATAGGGCAGTGATGGCGAACCGCTGGCACGCAGAGCCATCTCAGTGGGCACGCCAGGAGGAAGAGGAAGAGAACGCGCTCTCCTGCGCACCTCCGGGGGCGCGCGCACCGGGCGATCTCCGTGATCGCTGTGTCCTGCGGACACAGCTGATCACGTGACATGGTAAAAGGCCAATCACAGCGGCCTTTTACCACGTGATCAGCCGTGTCCAATGACACGCTGATCACTGGGAAATGCAAATGCCGGTTCTCGGCTGCACTTTCCTCACGCTGTCAGATCGTGAGGAAAGTACTGCCGAAAACCGGCAGTTGTCAGAACAGGGATCGGCACCGATCATCAGGGTCACTGATCATCAGTGCCCTGATGATCAGTGCCCACCTGTGCCACACACAAGTTCCGCCCACTTGTGCCCATTAATGCGCCCACCTGTGCCCAGCAGTGCGCCCACCTGTGCCCAGCAATGCGCCCCCAGCAATGTGCCCAGCAATGCGCCCACCTGTGCCCAGCAATGCGCCCACCTGTGCCCAACAGTGCGCCCACCTGTGCCCAGCAATGCACCCACCAGTGCCCCAGCAATGCACCCACCAGTGCCCACCTGTGCCGCCCACCTGTGCCACCCACCAATATGCCCATCAGTGCCACCCACCTCTCCAGACAGCAGGGGGAACCAGACATGCAGGTTAAGCAGGGTCACGAAGTTAGTGTTTTTTCATGTTATCATCCATTTAATTCAATCAAGTACTACACTATTGGAGATTTCTTCTGCTTTGGCTTGTCCAGGTGACCCTGCTTAACCTCCCTGGCGGTATTCCCGAGTGTAGCTCGGGGTAACATTTCAGTACCACAAATGGTAACCCCGAGCTACACTCGGGAATACCCTGCGGCACTGCTCCGGCATGTGTTCTTCACTTACCTTACCCTGCGCTCCCACGATGTGTCCCCTGCAGCGTCCCCGGGGGCCATCTCCTCCGGCCGATGCCGGCATCCGGCTTCTGTGTCCTGTCCCTGTGACGTCGGGACGTACGGGCGCCGCCGCCGCCGCCGCCGGGAAATTTAAAAATTTTAAAAAATGTCATTTTTTTTTTTTTTTTTTCATTTTACACAGTAAAACATTGCTGTTTCAACCTATTTCACATACATATTGTCCCTAGTGCTTTGTCCTGCGCCCCGCCTGCATTTTGTCTGTTCTTTCTGCCTGGAAACTGAGAAATGTCCACGGCGTCCAAAAAGTGTCCCCTTAGGTCAAAAGCGGTTTAGATCAGCTAGAGAACAGCGATAGTAAATCAGAACCACTTACAGAATTGAGTGATAATGATTCGTGGGGGAAAATTCGTCATCAGAAACTGAAAACGATTTTGCGACTGAACTCAGCGATGTGCGAACTTGGCGCTCTATTTCACATTTCAGTGTTTTTGGTTTGATTATATTATTGAATTAAATTTTTTATTATTTTTATATTATTTTTATGATTATTTATTAAATTATAATTTATGATTTTGTGTTTCAAATTTTATCATACCCGGGATGTTTACTAGACTCTTGTTCGGACAGATTTCAGTGAGTTTTTCCTAAAAATTACAGCCTACAATAAAAAAAATACATATTTCCATGCAAAAAAATGGTACCGCTTTCAGCACCAAAAATCTGAAATAATCATACCGCCAGGGAGGTTAACCTGCATGTCTGGTTCCCCCTGCTGTCTGGAGAGTGCATTCCTGGAGCCTGGATATCCCTATAGTGTTCTACCTGCCTAGCTGATGCTTGCCAGATGACCCCCATTGTTCCAGTATCCAGATGCAGATGACCAGGAGTTGGTCTTTGATTTACTCAAATGCTCATTAGTTTGCACAATCTACACTCATCCTTTTTAGACACCACGGTCACGGATTTTCACCAATTTGCTGCTATTGGATTTGGGGAAATTTTTATACACCACTATTTGCACCTTATGACATCAAGTGTGGACGTTCTCACATTTAATTGCTTTTAGCGCCATAGAGTGAAAATTGTTATGACTAATCAGTTTATCCTTTACACCATTATTCATTATAGCGCCTCAGTGCGCAAATTATATGATTTAATATTGTTATAGTTTTGATATTAATTTTATGCCTTAGTATATAATATCCATTCTATTATCTCTTTTTTTTTTTTTTTTTACTTTTTGCTATAAAACATATCCAATAAAAACATAAAAAAAAAAAATGTAAGCCAAAATGTACTCTGCTACATGTAAAAAACAACAAAAAAACAGAAAACAAACAAATGTATATTAACCACTTGCCCTCCAGAGGATTTACCCCCCTTCCTGACCAGGCCATTTTTTGTGTTACAGCGCTCCGTTACTTTAACTGACAATTTTGTGGTCATGCAACGTCGCTATAACACAGCTCTGTGATGTTTACCATCACAAAGCTCTGCCCGTGAATCACTGAGCTGATCAGCAGGTCCTGGTGCTCAGTCATTGGCTGGGACTCACTGAGCTTGTGCTGTAACGAATCACAGAACAGCTTGGTCAGCAGGTGCGCACTCTCCCCAGAAGCACTGAACACATACTAGCTACGTGATCCAGCACAGAAGAGCCGCTCTGCCGTCGGCAAGCAGATATATGCTGTGTTTATTTTAATACACACACTGTTTTTTCCCCCCTCGCTGCTGCTGTCATAAATTAAAGTTTTTGTCCCACATGGAAGGAATCTTTGGGGCAACAGAAGAAAATGGGGACGAGGTTTAACTGTAATGCACAAGTGAATCTTTTTTTAAAATGAGAACAGCAGCCTTTTCTCCAAAGGTCAGAGTTCCCCCAACTGCCCTGTCTCCATTTCAGTAACAGCCAGAAAGGACTAAGAATACACAATAAGTAGTTAATCTATACCTTGCTCCATCCCAGATGGTCTTCCACACAGTCTATGGACAAAGCAATCATAGAAACATTGCGCTTCTTGAATTCTGGTGCCAACTTTACTGCCCGCCCAAGCTCTGTGGTGCACACTGGAGTATAATCCCTTGGATGTGAAAAAAGGACACCCCAACTAAAAAGAAAGAAAGAAAAAATTAAGTTTAGTTCATTTACAATTTAAAAGTATCATATGCCACCTATTACATGCCTGAAAACAGACCGTGTGCGTTCACAGCCATGCACCCACTCCTGCACATCTGTCAGATTCTAACATACGGCTGTGTCTGGGAAGCCGCTGCATCTGCATTCACTTCCATAGGCTGCCTGCATGCAAGTCAAGGGGGATGCAGGTGCAAAAAGCAAATACTTTTCAACTGGAAAGGTCCTAACCCTCCAACACTAAAACAAGTATCCCTACTGAGCAATGCAGATCACCCAAAATCAAAATAATCTACACTGGCAGATTCTGCCCTAATAAATCCCATATGGTCCACAATTCATGGATAGGGCCTTCTGCAGCGCAAGGCCCCTTTCAGATGGAGCAGACCATCAGTGGATCCGTCTGCTCAGTGGGGGATCTCTCTGCTGATCTCCGCTTAGCAGGCGGATGACAGGTCTGTGTCCGCTTGGACACAGCTACATGATGTCTGGAGGAAATACTTTTTTTTTTTCATTCAAACCAAAGCCCATATCCATTTTCAATCCCAAGCAATCCACTTGTATCCTTTGATCATATTTGGTGCTGGAGGATGGCCTGCTGGTACAAATCGTTTGATATTATTATTATTATAATACAGTATTTATAATGCACCAATAGTTCGCTCAGCGCTGTACATTACAAAGGGGGACAGAACATGTGACAGAACAATACCAATACAATGCAAAACATGAGGGGATTGAGGGCCCTGCTCTTTCGTGCTTGATAATCTAGGGAGAGGGAGGGGATGGTGGCACAGGAGGAGAACTAGCTGTGGGGGATGGAGTGGTAGGAAGAGTGGAGGAGGTCGGCAAGGTTAGCATTGCGGGGGTGGGGTAGGCTTCCCTGAAGAGATGGGTTTTCAGGATGGACTGAAGCGGGGTGCAGGCCTAAAGGAGAGGAGAGTAGGGGTGATAATCTGATGGTTGGGGCAGGGAGATTTTGGCGGATGTGGAGTCTGCACGAGATGGGCATTGTCTGCCTATGTTTGTTTGGGGAAGGCATTTATAGTGGTTTGTTCCAAGAAGCCAGCTGTCTGAATATCGGTTATGCTACCGAGTGTAACACTCTTGGGTGAGACTCGTAGAGCATAAACTGTACATACATGCTGTATAGTAAGAAATAAAAAGCTCCAATTTATTATTATTATACAAGATTTATATAGCGCCAACAGTTTGCAATTCTCTTAAAATCAGCTAAATAGCTTTGGGAGTGGTGGTTTATACGGTTTCAATACACGTTTCAGGAATATCTTTCTCAGCTGTACATTTTAATTACCCCTCTAGTCCATAGAACAGAAAAACACCCCCAAAATCTTTTTAATATCAGAGATACAAAATATGTTCCTAGACATCACAGTCTAGGAGCAATGCCAAAAATACCACAGGGTTAAAGGGCCATACAAGTCTGCATTCCTGCAGTACACAACACAGGCTGGACTGTTTAATCTGCTCTGACAAACCATGCTCGACATGTCTACCAAATCTGTAACATTATGCAATCTTTTTTTTTTTTTTTTAAATTCAGATTTTTATTTATAAAAAATGTTTCCCATTTTACAAACAAAACATACAAAAACAAAATAGGGCAGAACAAACAAACCAACTAAAAAAAGAAAAAAAAAATATATCATAGGTAAAATGATTAACAAACTCATAAATCAAACATTAGGTTGTATACAGTCTATCCACTTGGACCATATTTTTTCACACATCCACAAAGAGTTCCTAAAATATTAGGTATGTTTTTCATAAAGAATTTGTTAAGCTCGGTTATCCATTCAGAGAGAATGGGGCGGAGGAGAGGTCCACTTGAGTACAATCTGCGGGCTATAATTAATGCTCTCAAGATAGTGAGTTGTAGATTTTGATCTTTGTGACCAAGTAAACAGGTTAAGAGGGTCGACCACCAAGTCAACCCCTAAAAGCCCATTAAGAGTCCCTACCACCTCAGCCTAATACCTTCTCAATTTGGAACAACACCACAGAAGATGAATGAGGGACCCAAATACAGTACAGTCCACATCTAACAACAAGTGTCATCTTTTGGAACACATTTTAAATAGGAATTCAGTAGATCTGTAATCTCTATGTAGAAAAAAAATACCTGTGTAAGTCTATGGGAGGGAGATAGGGAAACACTCTGAAGTGATTATAGGATATCCTTCCAGCTATCATTAGGAATAATTAAGCTTTACACACATGAAAGCTGTGTGCTAGCAGGCAGACTATACATGAGAAACATGCAAAATTACAAAGTTAAATTCAAGCTCTTGTGAAATCACTTGTACCCCTTCCTTACCTCAACTCCCATAGTTATACAAAGCCAATGCAAAGAAATGCTCAAATGATTGTATAAATATTTCAAACTTGCAGGTAACGTTTGTACTTGGGGATATACCCAAGGCAGTGGTTTTCATATTATGGAGGTACATGGGGCCTTAACTGCCATCTTGACTCATAGGGCTCATTGGAGGCAGGCTTCTTCCACGTTTTTTGCTGCTAGCCCACCAATGACATCAGCATGAGATCTGTGCAGAAAAATAAAGAAAATGCGCTTTTCCTTAGCGGTCACAAGCCCAGTCATTCTTTTGCTGATCTTGCCGTTTTTATCTATGATATCTCCCTGGAAGACACTTCTGGCTGGGGAAGGTGGTGGGGAAGGTGGTGGTGGTGGTGGTGGTGGTGGTGGGGGAGTCTACTTTAAATGGTACCATATACATAAAGGATTACTGCAAGAAACCTTTAAAAAATAAATTTGTTAAAGATAAGCACAGGAGAACCTTCCAAATGCCCAGAATGCACTGAAAAGTGGTAAATTATTAACTATTTCAGAGACATACAGAGAGTAGAAGCAGAGACAGCACTATGTGTTGAGATAAATAGGTGTGAGTTGCTCATTAACATTTCTTTTGTTTCCAAGGATGGGAGAGGTCTGAGGTGTGAATTGGTCATTACAATGTGTGACAAGCTTGGTAGGAACATCCTCTGTTAAGTGTTTTGTCCATCTGAGTACCTTGAAAACTCTTTGCATGCATTTTTTCATGATGAAAAAAGGTTTTGGACAGCATTGGGAACTGGAAGAGTTAAAACAAATTTCAAATGCAAACGCTTATAAACGCAATTTGCCACATTTAGCGTTTGAAACGCTGATAACATCGACGTCTGAACACAAGTTTGTTGCTTTATTCTGCACTAAAAAAAAAAAAAAAAAAACCGACTGTAAACTCAACTGCCTGTAAACGGCGATGTGTACATGGACACATAGGAAAACATTAGGGTGAGTTCAGGGGCTGCTGAAAAAAAGCTGAACAGCTCCTAAACGTGAGTTTATCAGCTGCAGTGTACAGTGGGGCAAAACAGTATTTAGTCAGCCAATTGTGCAAGTCCTCCCACTTACAAAGATGAGAGAGGCCTGTAATTGGCATCATAGGTAGACCTCAACTATGAGAGACAAAATGAGAAAAAAAATTCCAGACAATCACATTGGCTGATTTGGAAATAATTTATTTGCAAATTATGGTGGAAAATAAGTATTTGGTCACCTACAAACAAGCAAGATTTCTGGCTCTCACAGACCTGTACCTTCTTTAAGGGGATCCTCTGTCCTGCACTCATTACCTGTATCAATGGCACCTGTTTGAACTTGTTATCAGTATAAAAGACACCTGTCCACAACCTCAAACAGTCACACTCCAAATTCCACTATGGTGAAGACCAAAGAGCTGTCGAATGACACCAGAAACAAAATTGTAGACCTGCCCCAGGTTGGGAAGACTGAATCTGCAATAGGCAAGCAGCTTGGTGTGAACAAATCAATTGTGGGAGCAATAATTAGAAAATGGAAGACATACAAGACCACTGATAATCTCCCTTGATCTGGGGCTCCAGGCAACATCTCACCCCGTGGGGTCAAAATGATCATAACAGTGAGCAAAAATCCCAGGACCACACGGGGGGACCTAGTGAATGACCTGCAGAGAGCTGGGACCAACATAACAAAGGCTACCATCAGTAACACACTACGTCGCCAGGGACTCAGATCCTGCAGTGCCAGACGTGTCCCCCTGCTTAAGCCAGTACATGTCCAGGCCCGTTTGAAGTTTGCTAGAGAGAATTTGGATGATCCAGAAGAGGATTGGGAGAATGTCATATGGTCAGATGAAACCAAAATAGAACTGTTTGGTAGAAACACAACTCATCGTGTTTGGAGGAGAGAGATGCTGAGTTGCATCCAAAGAACACCATACCTACTGTGAAGCATGGGGGTGGCTTTGGGGCTGTTTCTCCGCAAAGGGACCAGGACGACTGATCCATGTACAGGACAGAATGAATGGGGCCATGTATCGTGAGATTTTGAGTGCAAACCTCCTTCCATCAGCAAGGGCATTGAAGATGAAACATGGCTGGGTCTTCCAACATGACAATGATCCCAAACATACCGCCCGGGCAACGAAGGAGTGGCTTCGTAAGAAGCATTTCAAGGTCCTGGAGTGGCCTAGCCAGTCTCCAGATCTCAACCCCATAGAAAACCTTTGGAGGAAGTTGAAAGTCCATGTTGCCCAGCGACAGCCCCAAAACATCACTGCTCTAGAGGAGATCTGCATGGAGGGATGGGGCAACAGTGGGCCACCCTGTTTGACCTCTGTCATTGCCAACAAAGAATATATAACAAAGTATTGAGATGAACTTTTGATATTGACCAAATACTTATTTTCCACCATAATTTGCAAATAAATTCTTTCCAAATCAACCAATGTGATTGTCTGGATTTGTTTTCTCATTTTGTCTGTCATAGTTGAGGTCTACCTATGATGCAAATTACAGGCCTCTCTCATCTTAAGTGGGAGAACTTGCACAATTGGTGGCTGACTAAATACTTTTTTTGCCCCACTGTATATGAGCCCTAAAAGTAAAAACTGCAAACTGTGCACACTG